AACCGGAAGTAGTGTTTAGCGATAATATATTTATTCCTTATTTAACTAAAACTGTAGAAAAACCATGAAATGTCCGTGCAAACTAACCTATAGACAATTATTAACTTTTTTTAATGCAATATAAATGATGAACTTATTTATTAAAGACAAATGCCTTAGGGGCAGCACACCTAGTAATAACTGAGCTCATACATACAGTCACATTATAGTCCACTCAGTGTATATAATTTTGATAAGAACATTAAAAGAAAGTGTGCGAATGACACCTCCCAATGCACGTGAACCCAGTCTGTTCTTCTGCCCACACTTCGAGAAGTGTGCAGTAGCACCCACTCAGACAGGATAATCACTAGAGTGAGTGACATTTCTGTGACTGTACTGAGGAATATGTAGTCCTCTGCCCAGCTGGGCTTAGCATGTGGAAGCTTTTCCATGATACTGAAGCAGTGAAGACAGACAGATGAGTTCTGCTGCTTGAACTGGCACCTGGCTGTTTCCATCCAAACAGATCAGAGATTCACTCCTCTCTGTCTCAACCCTCTGATCAAGCATTGCCCATTGAATCACTGAGCTGTAAGGTGAGAGGTCATGCGGTTAACCCTACTCCACCTTCTTTCTTCTACACAACTTCCTCAACATCTGGCATCACACTCTCTTTCATTTTCTTATCCTCTCTCTCTTCTGTCTTCCTCCATCTTTCTGACACACTGGCCTTTTGATTTGGCTTTAGTAGCCATTATTAATTTATCGAACCCATACATAGATTGAAGAAACGGATCACCTAAGAACACACACGTAGGAGCTAAAGTCTTATGCTCAACAGGGGACACTCATGCCATTTTCAACAGCATGCTGCTGTTTGGAAAGGGATTCCCTCATCAGTGATATTGATCAGAACATTACACTGACTTTCTTAAAAACAGCATCTCACTTCTTTGGAGAGAAACACACTGGACCCATGTCTAGGAACTGAATAGGTACTTTGTGAGCATGTCTGATGGATGTCTAAATTCAACATACAGACACAGTGTTAAAAAGGCTTTGAAAAAAAACTTTCTTTTAGAACCTTGTGAAGGCCTTTCAAGACTTTTCATTCTTGTACTCAGGCAGCCCAATTTCATCATCCAACACAGACTTCAGTTAGACGTCCTTGGTACGTGTCTTTGTTTAGTGGTTATGCATCAGTTTAAAATGTCTTTGTGAAACCAGTGTCTGCACTGATGGCTAAGCACACAGAGATCTGTGGACAAACACCAAGACTGTAAAAGCACAGAGGATTACTCTTCTGACTGTAAAATTATGTAGTTGAGGAGACAGCAGTCTAGTCTTGGGAAAGCTTAAGCACCATAAGGGAAGACAATAGCCTCGGGGGACACTGAGAGATCGGTGTGTTCATAATGCTTTTTCTTGAATTTCCATGGTTTTAATAAATAACTATCTTTCATTTGTCCAGTGACAGAACTTGTTCTGCACTTCTATATGTGACTAATTAATCCATTATTTGTGAACACCTACTTTCCTGTGTGGCAACAGCATGAGTCCAACTCTAGTCAACTCCTCCCACAAACCCCTCACTCCTGTGGCAGTCCAGACACATCAACAAAAAGCATTCACCCACAGGCCTTAATTTTCACCCCAGCATGTGAACCCTGCTCCCAGTGACACTCTTCAGTTAGATTGAATGGGAGGAGTGGCTGGGTGTGACGCTAACATCGTTTGCATCAAACACTGGCTGTTGCTGTCACATTGTGTGCATGCGGGAGGTTTTACTCAGTTTATTTCCATCCCCTTTATTTGCCTTTTCTTCTCCATCCTTTCATGCTAAAATTGCAAAAGAAGAGGAAGGATTAGAGGAACGAGGCATTTGAGAAGGGAGTCAAACACAGTGTTCACTACCTGCTAGCTGTCGATTCGGCCCCTGGCCATGACAGTACAATGCAGTGTGTGTGTGAATGTGTGAAGCTAAAGCTGTCAACATCACAGTATTTCATGGCTTACTTAAGCAATTACCTCTGAAAACATATTCCTTGCATTTCAGGAGAAAGGCGGCAAACTACCTGTGACTTCAGGGAGTATATCAAACTACCCAGTTTTTGTATAATACCTGGCTAATGCATGGCAGCCAATTTCTGTTTCTCAAGAAAAATTGAGAGCAATAACAGTTTGGCAGAAAAACGGGCCTTACAGTTTAACTATATTGACTTGCTGCCATCTGCAGTAACTCACAGTCAAAGTTAGGTCTCAAACAGTGAAATCATTCCATACCATTTACCTTTGTGTCACAGTCCATTTGTTACAGCACGCACAGTATAATAAAGTAGAGCAGCAGAGGAGAGCAACTGATTTGGTTAGAAAGTCCCTCCACTATCTTTTAAGAGGGAAAATGTCTCAAAGTTTTATCAGTAAACAATATTTGGTCTGTATGGCTTATATCAGTGGGAACTGTGTATGGGCATGCAACTATGATTAAGTGGAGCATGTGTGCCTGAGTAAATTCTCAACTCCACATGTCTGGCCTTCATGACTCAGTGACTTAGCAGGTCTAGATACGCTCAACATCGAGCTGTCAATCAAGCCCTGAAGGCTGTGTTCTTCCTGACCTTGCTGAGCCGATATCAGCATCTCTCTTCTAACCATAACAACAATCAAATCTCACACATCAGGCAATATGTCTGAGCCCATCAGAAATAATATATACTGCAGAAAAGGATAGGAATACTGATCCTATTTGCTTTTAACATTTTGTGACATTTGATCAAGGTTAACTAGATCTCTGATCGGTGTTGGCAATGAGCAAGGTCACTGTCACTAGTCTGTGGGCAGAATAGACAGAAATTCATCTTCCTTTTTTTTCAAATATACATATTGTACTATATTACATATAAGACAATAAAACACATCATCTGCATCTTCTGTGAACCAAACATTGAAGTAATGTGGACAATCAACTAACACAAAAATCCAAAACATGACTGACCCTTGGAAGCAGCACATTCCTGAGTTTCACTTCTCAGGTGCTGAATTGTACCCCAGAGCAGCAGTGTTGTGTTGCTACAATGAATATAAACTGAACTCTGCTTGCATCAGAAATTTAAATAATAAAATTGGGTCACTATATAAAGATGAAGACCTGTCACAGAATGTAGGTATGGGTTAATGAGCACACAACTCACCCTGAGACAGCCTGAAGACAATGAAAAAAAAAACTGTCGACATTTTCTTGCTGTCAGACAATCGGAGTCAAACCTCCACTGAGATTCAGCTGTGAAAACTTAAAGCTTTAGCATCCACTTTGCCCCCAACACACAAACTTTTCCACCTGAATCATTTGACTCCCACTCTGTATGATGAGATGAGCATTAGGTGCCTTTGAAGTCTCATTGGCAAGAAATGTTTCCATCAGCACACCCATAGCTGCCACTTATGATCACAGTGGTGTTTTGAAAAGTCTGCATCAAAAAAGCAAGTGGAATAAATAAGCCAATCTGAGAAGGAAACCCAACCAATCTGACATTTGATTTGGTGTGGAGGAGTAAGACACAATGAAAGAACAAAAAACTAAAAAAAGAAGAAGGGAAACAGGGAGACAGACGAAGAAAGAATGTCAGGGGCAAGCCCTATTGATCTGGAGATTTAATTAACAATCAGATGTCTCTGACAGCCTTGGATCTTCTTTGAGTGGCAGAGTGGCACTGGTATGGGTGGGGGGTGGGATAGGAGAAAAACAGGAGGAAGAATGGGAGAAAGATCGAATGAAAAAAGTATAGATCACTGACAGATTACAGCTTCACTCCATCTGTGCAGAGGAGGTGGAAGAGTGACAAGCTGGGAGGTGGGAGGCGAAAGTTTGAAAACAAGAAGATCATGAGGAGACAGTTCATCAGTAAGGAAAAAATAGTAAAAGGAGGGTGAAAATGGGAAATTAGGTGGGATGAGAGAGAAAATGAAAAACAAGTGTATAAAAACATGCTGTGCATGTTAAGAAAAACAGTTTGGATACATGAAAATATACTGTGTTATCCCCAACACACGTCCTCCCTACACTGATGCAGTTACCTTCGGTTTCTGGGTGTATGAATGTGCAAAAGGTCTGCTTATGTTGAGATGACACCAACAACTAGCTAGGAATTGAACTGCCGATTGTGATAGGCCGGAAGCAGTGAGATTTGAGCCTGCTAATTTCAGCTGGGTAGAATAAGAACTGACCTGAGTGAAACCAGTTGGGAACAGAGTGGCAGTGTGGAGGATTGGGGATAACATTAATCCCTAAGAGATTTGAATAGTGAAACAGCATACCTTTGGAAAGCAGTGTGATGAGGCTTTAAAAATGATGCTAGTTGGGGGTTTAAGGGTTGGAAATAGCTTAAGCACAGTAGATGGAATTAATGAGAAAATGTGAGTTTACAGACAGCATGAATTTGTGAGAAAAATAAATCCAGTGAGCATAAGGTGAGCAGGATAACCGCACTTCCCATTAAAGTGAATAGGAGTTACCACCCACAAAGATCCTATTCATCTGAGTCATTCTGTCTGGTAGCAGTTGAGACACTTAGCTGCTGAAAAGGACAGAGGAAGGACTGCTGATATTTGACTCACCAATGTGTCCAATCACATTAGACCGTGATCTCAAGATGTTGTTGGTTTCATACAAAGTCTGGCCATGGTTGTCCAGTGGGAAAGTCACATGTTGCTCTAAAACTTGAGAGCTGCCAGGGGATTCCTACAGAGGGGGGGTAAAGAGTAGACATAGAGATTAACAATAATGATAATAATTATAACATAAATAGTTGTAAAAGTCTACGGAAGGCCCAATATGAAACATTTTTCATTATATACAGTATGTTAGCAGTATATTCACAAATAAGGTTTTAGGTCACTAATAACCACAATTTGTTTCCTAACTGACCATAACTGAAAATATATAATTTACTATTACTAGTACTAGAATTTATACAGAGGTGGAAAGTAAGTAAGTACATTTACAGTACAGTACTTAAGTACAACTGAACTGTTCTTTTATTGAGTATTTCCATTTTCTACTACTTCATACTTTGACTTCACTACATTTCAGAGAAAAATACTGTGCTTTGTACTCACTACATTTATTTGATAACTTCAGTTACTTTTAAGAATTAGATTAATAATTCAAAAAACAGTATAATCATAAAGGTTTGATTCTCAGTGGAAAACTCATAAGCTACCCAGCAGTGTGTAAAGTGCTTCAAATTATATAAGGTAGTTAACTGTTGTTGTAATCAAGATCATATAATCCAAGACCAAGACCAGATCAATGAGGCTAAACCGGATTTAACAGTTTGATAGTGCTGGCTCGCCTGTGTTTCAGTGACACCAATAACATTATATAAAAGTGAAGTTATTAAATACTTTTTTCTATAAAATTCCCAAAACTTAGGCAAAAGCTGTTAGTTTTTTTTAAATACACATGTTGTAGTGTAACCAACAAAAGACCCTTGATGCGTAAAATGACTGTGGAGACTCTACACTGTCAGAGTGAAGTAACGAAATATTTTCCCAATAAAAATTCCCCCAAATTATGCAAAAAATTTTGTTTTAGTAAAACCAACAAGAGGCCCCTTATGGATGAGTTACCAATTCACTTTATCTTTCCTCACTCCACTTTCATCTAAGATGGTCTCTTCCAGCTTCTGACTGGCTGAACACACCGGAGCCAGGTAATCAGCAGCAGGTCAGGCAGGGGATAGTTGGAAAGCAAGCAGGACAGCGGCCCTCAAGGACTGGAATTGGCCACCCCTGCTCTGAACAGTTCTTTTAGCACAAGACTGCTACACCCCCAGTGCAAGGAGCATTACCATAGGTCATTCCTTCCCACAGCTATCAGACTGTACAATACATTACTGCAGTGATAAGCTAGGTGAAATTATGAGGGACAATGCAATAGTCAACTGAGGTGCAATACTCAAATCCTGGGGGTAAACTACATTGTAAATATGCACATATGTAAAATCTTGTTCTTGATTTCTCTCAAATACTTTATATTGTCCGGTTTTAGGTACTTGAGTAGTTTTCCAGAGATCCTCATGGCTGAAATACAGGTATTTTCCATATTGCTGGATTAATTATGGGAGTAATATTCTTGTCCTTGATTTCTTGATCTCTTGAATATTATATCTTGTTTTGTTCTTAGGTACTTTTAATTTATTCTCAAGGATTAATCAGAATCAGAATCAGCTTTATTGGCCAGGTGTGACGGACACACAAGGAATTTGACTCTGGTACATCGGCTCTCAATGTGCAAAACAGTAAATCAGCATAAGGCTGTGTAATATAACAAAACAGCAGTATTAACATCAACAAACAGCGCAAACAATGCAGGAAAAGCAGTATAAACAGACAGTAAACAATGCAGACAACAAAGGAATGTTCATTGAAATGAGATAAATAGGAAGACCTACCTAAAACTAGAGACCTCTATGACTCTGTATAATCTGTACAATGTATATATACACAGGTATTGCACTGAGGGTTATTGTCTAATCATACTGTCGTGGGTCAAGTGTTCATCAGAGCGACAGCCTGGGGGAAGAAACTGTCCCTGTGCCTGGTTGTCTTAGTGCACAGTGACCTGTAACGTTGTCCAGAGGGGAGGAGTTCAAACAGATTGTGTCCGGGGTGTGAGGGGTCTGCAGTGATCCTCTCCACCTTCCTTTTAACCCGTGCAGTGTACATGTCCTCCATGGAGGGCAGGCTCACACCAGTGACCTTTTCTGCAGTCCTGACTGTCTGCTGAAGTCTGTACTTGTCCTGTTTGGTTGCTGAGCCAAACCAGACAATGATGGAGGTGCAGAGAACAGACTCGATGATTCCTCTGTAGAACTGTATCAGCAGCTCCTGGGGCAGGTCAAACTTCCTGAGCTGGCGGGGAGGATCATTCTTGTTCTTGATTGTGTCTCAAATACTATATTCTGTCTGGTTTTAGGTACTTTGGAATTTGTTTCTCATGTATGTGGTGTTTTTACTTACGGTGTTTTGTTGCTGCTCTCTATTGCTGCTGGAACACAGGAATTACCCCATTGTGGGATCAATAAAATCCTACCTACCTACCTACCTACCTACACTGTATGCTGGTACAAAGTTTATTTTGAACTGGTACAGAAAATATAATTCAGAATGGCTGGGAATTGATCTACTGTATCTGTATCACGTGATGTTGGATATTGCGTGAATATTGTGGCTGCACCTGCTACTGTATGTTTGAGCAAAGCCATGCTGGGAGTTTGGCAGAGAGCAGCTTTATGTCTGAATGGCTTTGAGAAAGAAAAAAAAACTATCCCAAATATCCACATACTGAAACAAGCCAAGTGCATAGGGTAGGGGTTAAAAACATAATCAGATTCATACAAAGAAGACAAGATGGGTTGTCATATAGCTCTGAATGAGATGCCATCAACACTTCAGAATCATGGAACCAGGCCTTTAGAATCTATCTTGCCTTAAATTGGTATATTCTTGCTCTGTGTTGTGAAACGGCTCTTGCAGTAGTTCAAGATGGATAAGCTCCATGGATTTCCCATAGGCAGCCATCTCTTGCAATGAACCACAGTAAATGGACCAATGACATTTGCCATGTAGCCAATGTGTCCCACCGCCAGTTACTGCAACTCACTGTACACTCAGTCTTGGCAGACAGACATGGTTAGCAGTTAGCTTTTGGGTGTGTGACCAGCTAGCCCTGATTCTGTGTCTGGCCAGTCAGTGTCTTTTTTCTCTTTTTTTGGATGGAGACTATGGTGCTACCAGAGAAAGAGTCAGAAGGCAGAATAGAATAATAATCTCAATCCCATGTGCATAAAGTTAAAAACTAACCCTTGTGCTTTGGCTTCATTTCTGGGAATAATTCAATCCAGCCTCTGGGTAGCTGAGGGAACACACTGGAGAATGATTCCCTTTACAAATCGTATTACAAGATACAGTAGCTCCCTTATGGAGTTCAACTCTGTACACTTTAAACTAGGAGGCCCTGGCTAATATTGATGTTTCACAACACTCTGGTGGCTCCTGGCCAAAACAAAGGGGAGTAAAAGATCATACCATAACTACACCAGGAAGACAGAACAGTAGGGGGAACAGGAGGAGAGAAGATGTAGTGGTGGTGCAGAGTTTTTTGTAAAGAAATGGAAGGGGTAACAGGAAAAAGGAGAACTGTGGGAGCTTAGGCCCCAGTGCAGTGTGGGTGCTGTTAAGTCCTTCTTTGTGGGAGTAGTGTGCCCCAGGAGACACATACCAGGGTAGAGGGACTTACTGACTGTTTAATATAAATGAGAAGTTTAATGAGGTTGAGAGCGCAGGACTTTATCAGGACAGCATGCTGATGAGTGTGAGGGATGATGATGGAATGAGGCAGTGTGTGTATCTGTGTGTGCGTGTGAAATGGGGGGCTGGGTCAATGCAATTACAATTGGAGACATGGTCACTGCCAACCTCATAATAAAAAGCAGGTCCCTGGTTGATTCAGACTCAATAAGGTTCAAATAGTTGAAATTACATTTATTTTACTTGCTTCTTCCTTTTTTACTCAACACCTCCCTGCACTTTTTAATCTGTTTCAGGTCCAGTGGAGACTGTCATGAGCAGAGAAGAAGTAAGACAGAAGGTTTTGGGTAAGAGTAGGGAAATGTAGGGACAGAGTGCCGACAGCGTCAACATAGAACCAAATGACATGAAAATATGTAGAGTGTGTCAAGAGGAATGGATCTCATGAAATACATTTGTGTCACTGTCTCCATCTATCACTCAGAGCTGAAGGGGTTACTTTAAAATATTCATTGGCTTCTATAGCAAATAGACTTTGGAATCAACTTTCTACATGTCCAAAATGGTAGCAATGTAGTCTTTGTGCATCTAGTATTAATTAAATCTGCCTCTGTGCATGCTAATCTTTCAGCGCACTGTGAATGTTGACTCACTTGTGAATGTTTACTGACTGGTGTGAATTTGTATAACAAGCTGATACATTTCCAAGTAAAATCTTCAGTGTCTTTGGGATTACTGTCCGTTCTTACCACTGGTTCTCATCACCTCATCATGTGTTTAATCTGTATTAAGTCATTTTCAGAGTGGATTATCCTGTTGACTGAATGCAAGGGCATAGTAAGGTGACTCAACAGTGAATCCAGTCAACATTAGCTGTTGCTTGGTGATAAGACATGTCCGTGTTTAAGATAATGCTTTTATTTATCTATGTGTGTAGCATGAGAGTGTGTGTGTGCAAAACTGAATTTATGTGCTGACGTGTTTGTATACATTTGTGGTAAGTGTAGATGCACAAATGTGTTTTGCCTCTCCAGAAGCATTTCTCTGACCTTGACTACTCAGTGAGGGAGTAGAAGCAGTGAGTTGACAGGGATGGTCTTAAGCTGTCAACTAAGGCTAATAATGTCTAGTCTATGCCCATTTCCTGGGTTTTTATCCTGGTCTCAGCCTGTTGCTGTGGCCCTAATCCAGTCAACCTTGACCATAATGCTGTAATTGCAGCCCTTAAGCTTCTGCATTTTGTCACAGGCACATCTCACCTCTCTGCTTGCTAGATTTCTTTCTGGTTCTGTCCTGGGCTGCCCTCTGGATTCCATCCACTTTCTTTAGCTTCTCACACCCATCAAGAACCTAATTTAATACCAGTGCTTCCCAAAATGGGTTCTCAGATATTTTTAAAGTTACCAAATGTCAGTGTCCCCAATACAG